GAGCAATCAGAATATGCTGAGCAATGAAGAGGAGAAGGGTCAGATGACGTCACAGAATTCAGAAGAATCTGAATCGAAAAATTTGAGTCTGGATGATGGAGATGAGACGATACGGCAGACGACTGATACGATGACTGAGAAGTAGGTCGAAAGGGGGCGGAGCTTAATTTTTGAAAAATCGAAAATTTTTGATTCAAAAAACTCCGAAAATTCGACAAAAATCGAAAAAACTCAAAAGTGGGCGGAGCCTAATTTATAATTTTTCTGTCTGAAATTTTGAAAAAAGTGGGCGGAGCCTATTTTCGAAATTCAAGTTTCTGAAATTGAAAAGTGGGCGGAGTCTGTTTTCGAAATTCAAGTTTTTTGAAATTGAAAAGTGGGCGGAGTCTATTTTTAGATTATTGTAGAAGGTGGGCGGAGCTTAGCTTTCGCGATTTTTGGATGTTTTTTTTCTCAAAAATTAGGCTCCGCCCACAAAAAAAACCATATTTAAATTTTTAAAAATTTGTTTAAAGAAAATTCGAAAAATTTAACTCCGCCCAATTCTCAAAAAGTGGGCGGAGCCTAATTTTGAAAAATCGATATTTTGAAATTGGGAAAAATGGGGGAAGCTTAATTTTGGACCTGAAAATTTGAGAAAAAAATCGAAAGCATTTTTTTTCAAAAAATTTGGATCCGCCCACTTCTGGCCACGCCCCCTTTTCTTATTGCTATCTCTCGGCTCCGCCCCCATGTGCCATCCATTTATGTCATAAAAGAAGAAGGCCACGCCCCCATTTAGTCCCCCATCCCGATTTTTGGTAATGTTTCTTTCGGGGCTCCGCCCACTTCTGGCCACGCCCCCTTTTCTTATTGCTATCTCTCGGCTCCGCCCCCATGTGCCATCCATTTATGTCATAAAAGAAGAAGGCCACGCCCCCATTTAGTCCCCCATCCCGATTTTTGGTAATGTTTCTTTCGGGGCTCCGCCCACTTCTGGCCACGCCCCCTTTTCTTATTGCTATCTCTCGGCTCCGCCCCCATGAGCAATCCATTTATGTCATAAAAGAAGAAG